GCTTTTACTGCTTTATTTTTTTTGTCTGTTTAATTTTCGCCTGGCATTTTATCTAAAGGCAGGCCTATCCTCTGGCTTCCTTTTGTCAGCGGGAGGGGGGCGAGGGAGCGGGCGCGGGCAAAGCGTTGGAAAATCTGTGTGGCAAAAGGGTTAATTAAAGTTGAGCTACGCCCACATTCAAAAGGTGCACGAGACACACGGAGCAGGCAATAAATTTTATGGTCTCTCCTACCCTATCCTCTCCCCCTCTCCTTTTGACTTTCATCAGCAGGAACCTCTCTCTGCCTCTGCCTACGCCACCGCCTTTTTCTTTTGGTTTCCTTCTCCTTCTTTTCGCGGCTTTTCATTGGTTAACTTTTCTCTGCTTTAGTCTACGTTTTTCCCGTACTTTTTGTCAAAGGGGGAAACTCAAGTGAATCGGAAAATCCTGTGTAACTACTTTTTGCCTCAACATTTTTCCAGGAAAATATTTTTGTGTTATTTTTCATAATATTTCTTCTATAAGCTGCTTACAGCTGTCCGAAAAGCTTTTCCCTCTTGTGACAATATTTAAGGAGGTAAAAACCTCAATTCGATTGAAAATATATGTGCTGCAAGAGCAGGAGGATGCAAGAGGCAGAGGGAGTGGTGGAGTGGCTGTAAGAAAGGCAGGCGACCACCAGTAGAGTCGAGACTCGCCAAATCGTAGGAAGGAAGTCCGCATTGAGTAGCAGGAAATTAAAATTTTAGCCCAAGCAGAGTGGGAATTACACAGGAAGAAAAGGCGGAGGAGATAAAACAGTAAATAAAGTGGCTAAAACGTATAGAAGACGAAAGGAAAGAGAAAGGCACTTTCGTGTTGTGCCAAGTCATCCAGTGAAGTGAAGTAAAAGGAAATTCTTCTACAAGGAAGTCCTTAATTTGTTTGCCATTTCTCCACCCCAACACCCACTCACATTCCCATTCCCACTCCCACTCTCTCCCTATTCTCTTTCTTCTTCTCACACTCGCTAATTTTCCAGCTGTGTCCTGCCCCCCGCTCTTCCTTTCTCTTGGCAATTTTCATTTGAATTTTTAATTTCCCGCAGCAGCCTTTCGCTTACCCCCCTGCTGTGGCACATTCTGTGACACTTTAAGCATTAGTTTGACACACGATGAATCCGGGGCATGCTGTAGGGATCCTGCCACATTATGCCAGGCGGTCGGTATATGTTTTTCTGGCATCTATTTAAGTGAGTGCAAACTTTGGCCCACCCCCATCATTATATAACCCACACACACACACACACACAGACACCCCCGCAGGCCCGCAGATCCACAGACAGGGCACCAAAAATTGTGCAAATTTTCAGAGCAAATTGTTGGAGGGCAGACCCTGAAGAGCAGGAGGCAGTAGAGTGGGCCCCCATAGGGGGGTGGATAGAGAGCACAAATAGGAGACGAGGCTATATGGCAGATAGAGCCTGAAAGCGAGAGACAGTGTGCCAGCAGCAGGGCACAGGAGGATTGAAAGGAGAAGACACAGGGCCAAAAGGCAGACACACATCTACGAGTAACAAAGAGACAGAGACACACAGGCAGGTACAGTGGGAGAGGAGGGGAGGGGAGAAGAGCAGACAGCGTCATAGCCACGCCACGCTTCATAAATTTTCCCTCAATTTTTTACTGAATTTTCGCAAAGCTCCTGCTAAAAATATTTTATGCAAAATCGTAAAAAAAAAAAAATCGTAAAAAGAGAGACAAAACTGCAGACAAAAAAAACGTGAAAAAAACAACCTGCAAAACGATGAATAGAATTTTCCAGTGGCATGTGCAACCCAGGCAACGAACCGACAAGGCGATGCGGCACTCAACAATGGAATATCATTTTAATTTTATTATATTAAAATATTTGTTGTAGTCGTAGTCAGAGTCGTTGCTTTTGTTTTCTATTTTCTATTTTGTGGTGCAAACAGTTTTTCGGTGTCTGCGTCCTGCGGTGTCTGTTCCTAATGGTCTAGAGTCGAGTCGAGAGTTGATTTTAATTTAAAGATTAGCATTGAATTATTTAACGAGCCCCCCAAAACAAAGTGGCAGGCAGCACAGGCAGCGGCAGGCAGCTCAGAAATTTGAATTATGTGCCATAGAAAATTATGCAGGGCCAACGGCAATGGCAGGAATAACGGATAGAGGGTACTCCATGGCTCTGGGGCAACATTGATAAATGAGTATAGAATTAGTGGAACATGGCAGCGAGAGGGCTAAGGGATCAGTTCGTTTCGTTGATTGTTTGCACACTTGTTGCAGCCTTGAACTTTGTCGGGGTGGGTGGTGGGGCTAGCAAATTATGTGGAAGTGGCTGGGTAGAAAGGTGTTGACGTTGAAGAGAAACGTAATGGAAAGGTTGAAGTTGAAGTTGAACTGAAAGATAAACAGCTAAAGATGAAGGCTCAAGAAGTTTCAGCAAAAGTTGAGTGGTAGCAACAACGTAGCAATAGAATGAGTGGAAAAGTAGTAGAAAATGCCTCTGGGGGAAAGCAGTTTAAGAAGAAGCAGCTTAAGCAGTGCAGTAGCTGTGTATGAAGCAGTAGAAGTGCGACTAGAATTTGTAGTTATTTATTTATACTGTAAACTGTAAACTAAGGCTAATCATAACTAAGATACAAAATAATATATACAATAAATAAATAAATAAATACAATAAATAAATAAATACAATAAATAATTAAATACAATAAAATAAACAATCAATAGTTTTATTCAGAGCCCTCAGGCTGGCAAGCAGTCTTATTAGAAGTTTTCTAAGAAGTCATACAAGAAGTCATAAAAGTACTCTCCCAGAGCCAGTAATAGTTAGGCATATACCTCTGCGTGTGTATGTACTAAGTACCAAAGAAAAAGATATTTACCAAGAAGTGCATGTTGGTTTCCACACATTCCTGCTCTTTTCCAACGTCCCATAACTTCCACGCAAAAAACACGTGCAAATAGTTTACCACTCAGTCCCCCAATTTGGGTGGCCACTTTTCACCCAGTGGAGTGTTTTCCCCAATTTCAGTTTCCATGCTGCAATTCCCGAAAGTCACTCGCTTGGGCCCACAATTAAAGTGAAAAGCGCGCAAAAAACCGCAAAATGTTTAACGAAACGAAATGAAACGTCACAGCAGGCAGGGCAAGAGCAGCAGAATGGTTAACACACACACACACACGCGCACACACACATGGAAAGACAAACAACAATACAATCGTACAATAAATGCAGCAGCAAATCTACACAAAAACCAGAGAGCGCGCGCGACAATTGTGCATTGTGTTGACTGAAATGCGAGGGGGGAGGAGGCAAGCACGAGGCAAAACGCTGTCCAAGGGTTAGGGCAAAAAGGGTGGCATATGAAGGAAGGAAGTGCACTATGGGGGGAGAGAGAGAGATAGAGATAGACAGGAGAGAGAGATAGAGATAGACAGGGGAGAGGTAGCTGCAATTGCTGCTTTTTCCACTGGCATCCTGTTGTCCTTCAACAGGAGCTGACCTTGCTCTTGCCACTTGCTGCTGCTGCTGCACACAGACACTGCCACTGTCACTACTCTTGACTGCTCCACTGCCACTGCCACAACTGAATCTGAATCTGATGCTGCTGCTGCTGCTGCTGCCTCAGCCTTCCTGTTACATTGCCACACGCGCCGGATGTTGATTCCCATGGTTGCATTTCCCTCTTTCTCACTCCTCTCCCTATCTCTGTCTTTCTCTCTCTCTCTTTCTCTTCTGCTGCTCTTTTTTGTCTTTACTTTTTTTTCTGTTTTTTTTTTTTTGCTGTGTGCAAGGACGCGGCAGGAGCTGATAAACAGACGCACACATGACTGCGCCCACGTGCCGCATTGGAAAGTGCGTTTCGGAAAGTTTTCAGCCCATCCTCCTTCTGTTGGTGGCAGGCGGCTCTTCTTTCCACCCCCCTTGCTCACTTCTATCCACAGAAAACGATTCTTAATTACATATTTTCGTGGCATGCAGCAAACAATGTTTTGTATGCAATTTTTTGGTTACTTTTTACACTGGCCAAATGCCAGCACAGCACACGGAATTGTTATGTAAAACTGCTGTAAAAATAAACAGCAACAACAGGAGTGGGGAATGTGCCACAGACAGCATAGAGAGATAGAGAGAGAGGCAGAGATTTTTGGGGGGAGAACTGTCAAAAATGGCAATTTAAATGCTGCCCCAAATAAGTATGCAACGTTGTGCCTGTGCGCCTGTTTGCCTTTTTCCAACTGTCTCTCTCTTTCTCTTTGTGTATGTTTGAGTGGGTGGGTGTGTGTGTGTGGGTGAAAGTAATTTCATTGAAATTGTTTTAGCAAATAGTTGCAGTTGCAGTTACAATTGCAGTGTTGCCAGCAGATATTCCACATGAAATACCTCGAATGGTCCATCCTCAGTATTCTCGCTATTGCCTCCTTCACTTCTTCACTTCTTCTCTCTCTCACCCTGCCACATCTCTGCGGAGAGTATCATAAATAAACGCTTTTCTATTTCCCCAATTTTATTAGATTACTTTCACTTGACATCTTCCACTCTTTTTTCTCTTTTTCCTTTTCCTCGTTGTTTGTTTCGCGCTGGCAGGAAAATACTTTTTCATTTTTCCACCATAGCGCAGAGATGATCAACAGGAGGAAAAACCGAGCAGCACCTAGAAGGGCTGGCTGGCTGGCTGGGTACAGTGAAGCCTGCTCCTTTGGGACAGATTTTGTCGTGACACAATAATTGATTACACTTTTGCCGCATTTTCATTGTGAATTGATGGCCGTCGGAGACACATTTTGATTGATTATAAAAAACGTACATCGCATGATTTTTAGGGGGTAAGAAAGGATAAAAAACAAAAAATGCAAGTTAAAGCTTTAAAAAGTGCATAAAATGTAAATGTAAAAATTAACTAAATTTCCACTAAAATCATTAAATCTTTACAGGAGAAAAAATATACGCCAAAACTATCCAAAACAAAAAATGTTCAATACAAAATAGTTTAAATCACATTTTCTTAGCTTACTTTGTAGTCTAATTCCATTGCTTCGCTTAAGATTGACAGCGTTTCGGCTCTGAACTTGAAACTCACCTTAAAATGGAAGAAAATTTAAGAAAATAAATTAATTAATAATCAAGTTCAAGACAATAAATTAACAAATGATTCAATTCAAGACAATCGATTAATAAATTATGAATTATCAAGACTTACATTTAAATGTAGTAAAACCCTTGAGGAAAACCAAAACCCCCATCAAATTGTGGCAGCCCCGGAGGCTTATAATTATGTAGTTAAATATTAATCGAAACACAATTTGTGTAATTAATGGATACCCCCTCGCACTCTCACTCACACTTTAGCCCTGTCTCACTCTTTCTTTGCCACACTTTCGCTGCGGAATATTTTGGGTTTACTTCTAATTATAAGCTTGCCACATTTGCTGCTTCATTTAATCGACTTATAGAAGCCACAGCAGCGCCACCCAAAAACTGTCCACGTGGCAAGCTTTATATTTGCCACAAACACACACACACACACCCCGATACACTCTTTTCTCTCTCCCTGTCTCTGTCTCGCTCTGTGTGGCAAATCACAAAAAGTTTCAACAAGTCACGCATTCAATTAAAAAGCTACGGGCATGCCACGCTCCCTCCTGCCACTTCTTCGCCTCCTCGCTCCTTCCATGATGACTCTGCCACTCTTTTGGGGCATGGCAGTGGCGGCAGGGAGAATGTTGAATGTTTGCAGATTATAATGCCGCCCACGCCTGGCAAGGCCTCTGGTGGAAAAGTTGGCTTATAATAAATACGAGTGGAAATACAAAAAGTACAGTGCCGTCCTGCATAATGCATTTAATTATTAACAGACGGCAGTGGCAGTGGGCCACTCCTCCCGCACCCAACTCTCCTGACAGTGGAAAGTTCACTCCTCCTCCTCTGAGGCAAAAATGGAAACTTTCCTGCCACATTAGCAATTGCAACACTGAAATTCCTTTGGCTCTCACTTTACACTCGAGTTTGCAGGCAGCACATGAAGCACATGCCACATGCCACATGCCACACACACACACGCACACATTCCATTAGACCTTAACCTACTGCAGAAACTACTGGCCCTGCATGCAAGTCAAACTTTCTTCGAAAGTTCCCAATTAATTGGCAATTAATTTTGAACAGCAACCGTCGACGAGCGTTCAATCGAAAATTCAATGGAAACTTCTTCGGTTTAGTCGTTGACGTTTTTGGTCATTCTGTCAGGCAAGGCAAGTTTTTCCCTCTACTGCACGAAGGGTTTCTTGTAGAGTTTTTTAATTAAGGGAAAAATAATTCGGAGTACAAGAGGCAGAAAAAGCTAACCGAATCAATGTATTTACGGGCTAAGCCCTTAAGTATATGAATTCGTGTTTCCGTTGAAAACTGGTTCCTGGAATCATCATATGAGAGTACTTCTGCAGGAAATAATTGGCAAACAGACATTGCCACATTTCTGGGAAAGGGTTTATTGAATTTTCGGATGGAAAGGGATTACCAAGAAGTAAGCACCAAATGCACCAGAGAATTCTCAGAAAATGTTGCAGAAATAATTTGACAGGGAAAATAAAAGGAGATGGGACAGAACCAGTATTAATCAGAGAAGGGAAAAAAGTGTAATAATCACAGAGGAAGAGACAGACAGATAGAGAGAGAGAGAGAGAGAGAGAGAGAGTGAGATAGGGGGGGAAGAGAGTGCAAAGAAATCGTACAAATTAAATTCCCATTAAAGTGAAAAGTGAAATGAGAAATGGAAAAAAAAACTCTTCACTTGAGGAGACTCTCAAAAGTTGTACCTTTCCCATCCAAGAACCCACTCCAGAACTAACGACGAAACATCCATTCTACCTTCCGCCCTTCTCTCTTCCCTTCCTTCCGTACCTTCCTTCCTTTCATCTTAAAGTTTTCCTCCATTAGGTGGGTTCTCCATTATATTACACAAGTTTTTTTTTTCCCTTTGCTGTCATTGCAAAAGCAACTGCTAAAGAAAATTTGATCGGAAAATTGTGCAGGCAAATAGTTTGCTAGGTAAATGGAGGCAAAAGCCAATAGGAGCGAGGAACAGGTAAAATATTTTAATAATGAAATGAATGCCTTATTCAACTAAAGATTGAGATGAAGGTAAAGAACTTCCTCACTCGCTCTCACTCGCTGACTGACAGACTGATAGACTGACTCACTGACAGACAGCTGGCCAAAGGAGACATGAAGGCAGCCCAAGCCTTGACTGTTTGGTCGGATTTATGGCTTGAAAATTGTTTATTTGATTGAATATTTCATAACATGCACTCGGCCACTGCCACTGCCACTGCCACTCTGCTCCATCTACCTTACCTGCCGCCTCCTTTTGCGGTGTTGCCTCTGGCCTGGATTCTGCCCTTTTCACCTTCATCTTCACTCACTTCGCCATCAATCTATTATGAAATCTCTGCTGCTGCTGCTGCTGCATTTCATGGCCTCCACACACACAGAATTTTTGGCAAGCTCGTGTAAGCCTCTCTTTCGACAGAACAGAATCTGGTATTTCGTACCTTATGCAATTTATGGTCTAAAATCATTAGCCTAATAGGTGGTACAGCCCAATGCCCAAAGAATTAGAGGGAACTTTGAAAATCACAAATGAACTTTTGGGTGAAGGAGAACATCCTTCAGAAATCAAGGAAAAGCATTCACTACGCTCCGCAAATTATTCATTCATTATTCATATTCCTTGAGTTTAAAATTCTCTAGAAATTAGAAAAGTTTATTTTAAATCGAAATATGTTATGACCATTCCCAAAACTATAATATTTCTCGTTTTTTATTTTCCCCCGAGGGCATCCAACAATCTCCATTCTCTCTGTGCTTGTCCCTGCTTCCATTTGCCACTCCTGCCTGAATGCTCCTCCTCCTTAATATGCAATTTCTGGCCTCAGAAGCGCAAATGCAATCAACTATCGACATACGAAATACGAAAACGAGGCGACAATTGCATTGAAACTTATTTTTATTGACATTTGCAGCACTCCCTCCGTTCTGCTCCGTTCTCATGTTCAACATTTGCATACATATATACAGACATCTCCATGGTAGCAGTTTCAGTGGAGAAAAGTGTGGCAAAGACGACAAACAGACAGACAGACAGACAGACTGACGTGACACTCACACGTCTGTCTGGTGTGCTTGTGCCACCCAATAATGGAGCTATTTACACGCGGAATCAAACAAATAGTTGCATGGACGCATGGGGCCAATTTGCCTGTCTTGTCTGTCCGTCGTGTTGATTGCCTCACTTTTTCTCTTCTCTATTTTCTTGTGGTGTAAGAAAACTTTCTTTATTCAGAGCTGATTTTACATGGGAAATTTTATGGTGGGAAAAGCGTAAAGCCATCAGGCAATCATCAATATAAAGAACCCACAAAATTCCAAATTAATTAAGGAATTAGTTCTATAAGGAAATATAAATCAAAATAAAAATGAGGGAATAGTTATTTTCCATAGAAGCAACAACTTTTGCTTAGAGCAGCAGCAGCAGCAGCAGCCATCGGAAAATCATCCACAGCGTCCACAACCATTGAGGCATCATTAAATGTACTTTCACTTTAAAGCCAAGTACTTTCTGTACTTTCTCCATAAACCATTAAATGTTCTCATGGATCGACAGTTTTGTAGCTTTATTTAAGCACAAATATGCACTCTCCACACGCTCCTAATATTCTTCTCATTTTTCAGCCACTCTCCCGCTCAATCACCATGGTGCTCCCGCCCTTCATCTGCGCTGTAAATCTCCCTCACTTTCAGAGCTGTTTGAAGCATAAAACTTTTCAATAAAGTTGCAAGCTTAAGCCTAATCGCCCACACCAAACCACACCCACAAAAGGCATCGCGCTATAGTCCCAGCCACATGCCACACGCCACATATCCCCCATGCCATTTTGGTAGCACGCCTCTTTGGACGCAGCTGCAATTTGGTCGTCTTTATGGCTTGACCACACCCATCACACACACACACACACACACACACAACACACTCTTAAAGACTCTGCCACACTCACACACACTCTTAAAGACTCTGCTACACTCACACACACTCTTAAAGACTCTGCCACACTCACACACACTGTGGCACAGTCCCTCCACTTTATGGCCGTTGCCATAAAACGTTGCAATGCCCATCGGCCATGTTTCATAGCATACTTTGGAGGAGAATTCTGTGGAGAATTCCCCGATTCGTTCTCCTCGCTTAAGCTCTCTGACACATCCGCTTACCTAAACTCCGCTTGACCGTGGCACGTGGCTTGTTGCTGCCGCTGTTCAATGTGACCGCTATGGTGGCCGTTGTCCGTGGCTTGCTACCTCCTCCACTCGCATTTCCTCCTACTCCTCCTCCTCCTCCTCCTCCACTGATGCCAGCTGAAAGTTTGCCAACAATTGGAAATGGTTTCTGCTGCCGCATCGGCATCGTCGTTGTCGTGGCCAGCAGTGCCTGCCTCTGCAGCTGAATCTGCGTCTGGCTGGGTGTCCGCTGTGGTGTCTGATGTTTCGTCTCATGGTTGCTGCCACTGGCACTGGCACTGGCACTGCCGCTGCTGCTCGTGGCACTGGGCAAGGCCGAGGTGGACACCGATGTGCTGGATCGCTTATAGCCTTCGGTGAGGAAGGCCGGCGGCGGTGTGATTGGTGGCGCCGGTATGCACATGTGCTCATCCACCGGAGAACTGGCGGCCGTTGACGGTGCCGTGATGCATTCCCTCAGACGCAATCCCCCAGCCACGGGCTTTAGTTGGTGGCAAGTACTGCTGCCGGTGCCGCTTGTGCTGCAGCTGTGGCTGTGGCTGCTGGAGGGCATTGGCGTCGGCGGTGTTGTCGTCTCATTGCAGTAGAGCTCCAGGTGATGCTTATCGCAGCGTCGCCTCCGACGTATATTCGGGGCAATTGTCTTCATTTTGGAGCCATTTGTTGTGCTGCCCCCACCGCTGTTTTGATGATTCCCGGATCCGGCGGACGCAGCAGCCGCCTGACGATTGATTGACGGTACGCCGTCTTTGGAATTTAAACGGATATAATGCACACGAAAGATGC